AAGTATTGTTTGTTTATTTTGTTTTGAAAAACGTAAACAAAATGGGTTGTTTTACGCAAAACAATGCTCACAAAATACATTTTGTATTGCACTAAAACGCTGAAAATGGCATTTCCAAGGCTCTGAAATTCAAAATTTGTCAGGGGGAGAATGCCTCGGACCCCTCCAGGTGCGGAGCGCCTCCGACGTTTTATGACTGATGTTTGAAAAATCCTAGATCCGCCCCTGGCTTTGACGTCACATGCAAACACTCTATACTTATAGTTCAATGCGTAATAGAAATTATAGTAACTAAAGTAGTTTCGGCACCTCAATGGCATTGACATTGATTTTCTGGAGGTTTTTGTGTATGCCGTAAACAAGTATTAAAAACTTAAGTCTAATTGCATCGATAATATAACTTATTAGTTCTAAGTTCATTGTTGTGTTTGGCACGGACGCTCGTTCGGATGCTGTTGCTAACTTCTCATTCAATTCTGGTAGCTTATTATGCTAGTTTGGCAAGTTTTCTCTGATATGTAGTTAATAAGAAGTTTCCAAAATTTAACTTTAATGTGCTTTCGCGATTTTCATTAGTGAAGAAACACTCGCGACCTTCAAATACTGTAATAAATTCGCATTCTTCAGAAAATCTTTACCAAATACTGTATCGGAAATTTTAATATGTACGGAATAGCACAGGGATTGTGTTGAGATGCTTTAAGATGCTCTTTCCAACATTCAGATTTTGGTAGAAACTGAAAAGCATTCCACAAAGGTATCCTCAATTTGGACAATGTATATTAAATAGCATGATAAAAGAGCATTCAATCCACCAAAGTTGTACTCTTTACAAGCCTTGAAATAGCAAAACAATTTACTATCGCTGTCCAGGGTGTTTAAAACCAAAGCTGTTTTATATTGGACGCAGTTATTTATTTTAAAAGCTTTGCTTAGCAAATATCCTTAACATAGGCAACAGCATTTCTAACAATATATTGTTGGTAAATATTGTCCTCCATAATCACTCTCACCAATCAACAGTGAGTTATTTGAAGCTTTTGCTTTGGTAAGTTGTATACGAACTGCTTTGGGCTTTTCTTTGAAAATTGAGAAAAACAGTGTCCATATCTTTGAAACAGTTTCCATTGGAGGATGTTAAAAGTGAACTGAAAAAAGGTTTTGTAAAAGCTCTGATAAATTTTATTGGCATGGGGTTGTCACTATTTCCACCATGTTGACAAATGGTTCCAAAAAAATTCTCAAGAGCATCGGTGTTAAATTTTCTAGTCAAGAAGAATGTAAAATTGTGTGAGACATGCAGATAATTCCAGAGACAAACAAGGCATTTATAGATACAGGCCCATCCCTTCAATGATTTTATTCTGCCTGTTATGTGTTTGCTATCTTTCAGCACTTTGATTCCATGGATGAAGATGACTTCTTTAAGAAAAGAAATGTGCGTAGAGTTATTTGTAATGGCACTCCTCCATTCTTTAAGTAATTTTAGTTGAGGAACTGTTGACACAATCAAAAAGTGAATCAAACTTAAAAACAACTATGCTGTGCCCAAGGCTGATGGCGGCAAGGCTTCAATTGGTGAATATATGCAAATAAATTCAACAACAGTGTGACTAAAAATTTGTGGCGTATTTAACTTTCATTTTTTGGAAATTGGTGGGGTGAAGGTGCTTATCAGTAAGTTTAGGTGCTGCCCTGATTGACAGTGACTTATCTTTTTCTTAACATTTTTCAATGTCTTTCCAGCAAGCAGAATTTTTTTCAAATTGAAAAGTGCTGTTCATGAATTGTTTTGTATGCACTACGGCAGATGGGGATAATCATACATTAGAAATATTTTGTATAATTTTGAAAAAACCATGGTTTTTGCTAAGTGAAACTCAGTTTTAGTGATATGCTGTAGAAGTTAGACCCCCATATCTGATATCACCACACAAATGTTGAACTCAATAGAATTAACCTCAATCACTTCGTTGATTGAGTCTTGCGAAACATCAACTAGACAAGCTTCATTTACCCGTACATTATCCATAGGTTGTTTTTAACCTCCAGATATGCTTCGCAGCATGAATGCAAGACATGATGTTGCCAATTTATTCGTCCGATATCCCCCAAAGTCCTCTAAACCAACAGTCTTCTCTTCTGTGATGTTGTAGTACAGTTGCGTTTTCAATGTTATCTCGTCAACACAAAGTGTGCACAGTTTTTCCATGTCATCCATGTAACACACCCTTTCCTTCAACAGCTGCTAGGTTGCTGGTGGAATACCTGCTGCTATCTTGTTGAAAGTTTTGTTGGCAGAATAAAAAGCTTGGAGAGGAGACTATATGCTTTGCCACTAGCGTGATACAATGAAACTGCCAAGAACTTCATTTCTGGTGAGTTCCTTCTTCCATGTTCTTTTGCTGAATGTAGCTTTACTTGCTGTTTTATAAAGTTTTTTAGTTCAGTTGATAATTCTTCCAATTCAGCATTCAGTGACTCATTTGTTGTTGTGTTTTTCTTCCAAATTTATTTATTCTTTTATTTAGCCTTGCAACTGTTTACTGTTTTGCTTTCATCGTTTATCTTTGACGTTTTTTTTCTTGGTGTGTCATTTGAAAGTCAGGAAGGTGTTGACTACAGAAGTCTTTCTTTTCTGTCTGTAGCCCATCTTTTAAAACTGAATTTATTAAAAATTATTAAATCTTAAATTGTTTTGCTAAGTTTATCTTAAGGCTTGTAGCATCTACCTTATTTATTTTGTGAATGTTGTTCATCTTCCTCACTGACATTTGATTGAACTGTTAAATGTGTTGTCGCACTTGATATCTCTTTTCTACATTTTTTTAGCACCTGAAGATGAAGGTCTCTGCTTAAGTGTTTACTTGCGTAATGTATTGAAATACCTGGTTGAGAATTACCTGTTTCTTCAGTATGGATTGCTCTTCTTTTCTGGCCAACTGTAGGTGGCGGATTTGAAATATTGTACAAGGTTGGCTTAGTCTGGACTTTAAGCATGATTTTTCAAAGTTGAGAAACATACATTCTTCAAAATGCTCTGCACACTATGTGCAGTTATTATAAAGATAATCTGCAGTTTTGTCTAACATGTCCTGCCATCATGTGCTGTGAACCCATTCTTTTGATCTAAGGTCATGTGATAGTCATAAGAAGTTGTAAAAGTTTGCTTTACACTGAAAATATAGAACGTTTTATTTTACCTCAGTGAATAACGCGGAAAACGAGAGAAGTTTATATCAGGTCGAGTTTTTTTGCTGTTAGAGCAGTTTACTGCTGAACAATAGGTCCTTGCTCCACCTTTTATAGTTTATGCATTTTATTTGCTACACGAGAAGTTCGACGTTTGGAACAACATTGAAGTTTTGTGGATTAGTTAGCAGGTGCTGTCGAATATTCGACACATGCCACACTTGATTCAAGTCTGCCGGATTTAATTGTCTCAGAAGTTGCATTTTTCATGCAGTTAATTTGTGAATTATATTCGGCACATGAAAAATGCGACGTTTTAAAGTCATGAAGATGTTTTGGATGGATTTTTGGAGTACGTCTTTGACTACGAAGCGGCTATTCTTCGACATGGGCTTCAAAACGCTAATAATAAAGTGTTGAAAAGAAAAGTACAAGAAGAATTTTTGGAATACCTTGCGTCAATATTGTATCAGAACTTTGCCCACAGCCAATACAATGAAATCTATGATAATGAGCACATCAAAGTGTGAATTATTACAGAAAGTCAGTAGATCTATTGGGAAAGTTTGCAAAGGAATTGTAGAGATGGCCAGCCAACTTATTGAAAGTACAAGTATAACAAGATATATTAGCCAAGATATATTAGACTTGATCTTATTCCTACTTCAAGAAAAGTACTTGCTCTTATCCGACCTGTTGTCGACGGTGAGTTAACAAAACTTCAAGATGAAGTACTGCAACATTTTCAAAGATATATCAATGCATCAAATCCTGAAACAATAAAGTGTCTGTTTAAATTTATCACTTGGAGCAATTACGTAATTGCTGAAGAAATAAAAGTAATTTTTCACTTAAGCATTGGAAGTATTCCATGCTTTATTTTCCATACATGCAGTTGCGCAATTGATCTTGCACTTGCTGTCATATGACGGCTAAGGTTCCCCCCCAATTACCAATGAAATCATTGCTAAAATTCTTGGCAAGAGCATCATATTTTTGCACAAATTGACTTTGATATGTTACAGACGGGCCTGCATTTCATTTATCCTTTACTTATGATTATTGACTTAAATTTCTGCAGAGAAATCTCTACACCAGATGGCTTGCTTTGCAACATCAATTTATTTTTTCTCAAGACGAGATAGTTTTTGCTTGGTTGAAAAAATCGCACTTTGGTTAGCAGCATACATATTGACATTTGGAATTGTGAAAGATATTCCAAAATTCAGTGTTGATTGTAGTTTTAATCAGGCTTTTGCAAATTAGCTATTATGAAACTATTAAACATTCAATTCAGACAGTAAGCTTGATTATGTTAGCTCAGTAGGCTATTAATCAAAATCCGTCAAGCTATTTACAATAAGAAAAAAACTTAAACGAACCAATTGCAAGATAGAATTTGGACTTCTTATCCATAACGCAGCTGGCTTGCCAGTAAAGATCATTCCATATCAGTCAAAAGCATCCACTGATCTGGATATTGAACATTGAATTGATGCATATGAGCGTTCTTTGTCTTCCTTATGCGTCAATAAGTTAATCCATTCTACTTTTATCAGTCAGTCACTTACTATTCCACATATTTTAAAATTTCACGCATCTTATTCGCAACGCGATGTTTAGTAGAAATATGAAATTTGAAACATCAAACATGCAAAAAATACATAACATTATTTACTGATGAGAAAATGTCGAAATGGAGCGCAACATCATTACGTATATCATTTACGTGAAGAAAAGTCTTCTACTGTCTTATTTAGCACTTCGAAACCCTCTTATTTACTTCAGGTAATATAATGCAACCATACAAATTTCTTTTTTAGAGGTGTGATAAAGATATATGAGAAATATGCTGTGTTTTAGAGAACAAAATTAGGGGAAGTCAATAAATTAAATGTGCGAAATTAACTTTGCAGTGCACCAGGTGGGATTTCTTGCTGGATAGCGTCGTGGATATTAGCATTCACAGCTGCCGTTTGAGACCACCCATCACCATAGCTTTCGATTGGATATGCCGGTTCGCCATGTTTGGGCACGTCCAGTCCTGTGGACAATACAATACTATGAGTAAGTTATTAAAGTAAATGGTTTGAACCCGAGAGTATCGTAACATGTTTGTGGATGAAAATCGTCCAGGCTAGTAGAGTCCTGAGAAGGACTGTTGGTATTGATGTAGACTAACGTTTCAACAACCATAGCGGTAGTCATCTTCAGAGTCAAGTGAGGAGTAAACGTCAGGTTAGCCGTATTTGTTATCTGTTTCTTACGTCATCGTATTGTGTGTACAGGAAATGTGCTGGTGTTTGGGTTTCAATTGTGTATTGTTTTTGTGGATTAGTCTAAAGTAATGTCACAGTAATGTGAGCTTATCTCGCGTATCTTACGACAATACAACATGCGTGTCACACATAAACCAATCACAACGCTACAATAAATGCTAACGAACATCAAAAACAAAAAACAACCTAATGAACAACAAGGCTCAGTTTACAAAATAAACTGCTCCGACTGCCACGCCTCCTCTATCGGGGAGGCTGGCAGGTACTTAAACATGGACTTACATCAGAAAGTTGGTACACCAACTTAGAACAAACCCCCTGAACAGATCACAACAATTACCGGCACCTTACAAACGACTCCTTCACAATACAAACAAACAAGCAACTAACACATTACTTTAGACTAATCCACGACAACAATACACAATTGAAAGCCACAAACCCACACATTTCCTAAACACACAATACGATGACGTAAGAACCAGATAACAAATACGGCCAACCTGACCGTTTTCTTCTTACTTGACTATGAAGATGAATACCGCTAAGGTTGTCAGAACGTCTGTCTGCATTAATACCAACAGTCCTTCTCAGGACTTTACTAACCTGGACGATCTTCATCCACAAACGAGTAACTTATTCTTGCCCCTTAAAATAATTACTTGATTTTGTGTCTGCATTTTTCAGATAATATACCTTTCAGCTCAATATGACGGGGGACGCGTAATAATCCAGAAATGCGTAACAATCCAAAAATCAGAAATCCCCAAAATGCTGACCAAATTGTAATGACAAATGCCCCGAGAAGGTTCCAACCAAACTGATTAAATGATTGATCGCTCCACTTATAAAGAACGCCCTTGTCTGTGTTAAAAAGCGTCACAGCCATTACTCCCCATAAACCACATCCGTAGTGTACTAAAGGGTAATTAAATCCAAATATTTAAATTTGTTTCTCATGTTGGAGACGAAATGCGAAACTCAAATTTAAATTCTTAATCATTATCTTCCAACTCTAAAATACATTAAAGATATTTCTGAACAATTATTGCATCTAACAAGTCAATAAAATAGAATATAAGTAAAAACTTTTACATCAAATGCAAATGAGGATCTGCTTGTAAAAATTGCCTTGTAGGAACACAAAAGAACTACAAGCAGCTTTCTATGTTGTCGCTTTTTGAATGGTCATCAATACATTTAAAAATTATAACGGTAAGCTATATAAAAAAACAACACTAAACGTGAGAGTGAAATGATGCAAGACTTACGCCTTTGTAGCATTCGTATTGTGAAAGCTGACACTCACAGTCAGATAGTAGGCTTTATAATCTTGTGATGGCTATTTTTACTATACTGGTTACTTAGTTTGAATTATTTTGCAAAAATTTTGCCATTTATGGAGAAAAAAATTGCCATTAAATAGTAAGAGCCAATTAATGTTTAGAATACGAGCATTATTTAAACCTCTAAGAAAAGGACATCTATGGCGGTTTTACATTATCCTATCAAGACATTTTATCGAACGTATTAATTGGAGAGAGTTTTCACAAGCATGCACAATGTTGTTTTCTATCGCCATTATGCCAAAGAAGAAACTAAGTATATTGTTAACGAGAACTTTAAAACTAGACATATAAAAACAAGGCATACTGGCAGCAAATTAAATTACTATTGTCTGCTCTATATTTCTGCACTATATTAGCATTTAACTAATACCTGCAACGGCATCAAGTGGATCGTCAACTTTAAGTTTCTCAAGGACAAAACTCCATAACATAAAGACCATACCAGCAATAAGACCAGTAATGAAGGCAGCATAGGTTTCAACAGAGTTGCATCCAGCACATATGGAGACCTTCAAAAGGTAGTTTAACACCTCTGCACTGTAGATATATTACTACAAATCATATTCGCATTTACGCACTTTTCATTACAGTTATTTAACCTATTTTATTCCATTTACTTGATCGCACAATCTAGAAATCATTTCTAGCGTTTTTTTTTTTTTGAAAAAAGTGAACATTATTAGATCTAAACTATAATATATAAAAATAAATTTTCTTGTCATTGAATATTACCATGCCTGAAAGTCCTCCATTAATAGTTGTCAGTAAACTCCAGTGTCCATCAAACAATCCCGTCGCAATTCTTTTCATCAACATGGTTGTGACAGCTCCACCAGCACCTATTAAAAGATAGAGTAGTTGATGTGACAGTCTAATTTTTATAAGCAAAAAACATTTATACGAGCTAGTTTCATTTTTAAATAATTCCTTTTGACAAATTCATTTTATGCCTTTACATTTGGTGCATGTTCATTTCTTGCTATTTCTATAAAAAATTTAGTTTGTAGCCTAAAAAAAATCTTTAAATGCTTAAAAATGTAATGTTCTTTATCAAAACTTGCATGCATAAAGACAAGAGATTATTTGCAAACACGTACCAAACAAAACAGATAATTCCATGCAAATTTCAATTTTCAAATAAGCGATTTAAGTAATTTTATTTAACAGTGCTTGTTCCAAAGAACAAAAATTTGTGTCGTGCTGCCTTTTAATTTAAATTCATTGCTAGAATGACTGGAAAAATTACATTTGAATTGTACAGCAAACGAGCATTATGAGGAAAATCAGGTTATTTGATTTAAGAAACTCACGTCAAATATTCAAAACAAATATTAAAGGCAGTAGCGGATCTGGATTAGGTCAGTATATACTACTGAGAATACATTTCCTTTTAAAAATGTTTGAACTAATCCTAATGTGTTTTAGCAAGAAATAATAAGTAAAAATTTCTAACTAACAGCGTTGTTAACAGACGAATTTTGAATTTAAAATGACCTTCTGCAATATATTTTACTAATACTAGATCCGCTACTAACTAAATGCGTACTTCTTTTCATTAGGAAAATGAAACCAAAAGTTTCCAAAAACCTGATAGAATCGTGTTAACAATGGCAAGTGCAACAACACTTGCATCGCCCGAATAGGAAATAGTTAATTGTGATCCTCCGTTGAAAGCAAGGAATCCAAAGAAAAGGATGAAACCACCTAACGAGACCATCTAAAAACGAAGTTAAGAACACCTTGAAAAACAAAGAGTTTTACTGAATATTTTATTTAAAAAATAAGTACCTGCGTACATGTGGTTAGCCGATGAAGTATATGGCTATTAATGAAGTAGATTAATAAACATGTAGCTCAAAAATATTATATATTAAATAATAATTGCACCAAACTTGTTCGAAAATTATGAAAAGAGCTATGTACTCCCTGACTAGTCAAATGGCTGGCCAACACTACGGTGACATGTGAACCAAGCAGTACATAAACAATGTTAACAAGTACTAAACTGGACTAATTACTAAAATTTGATTAATATTGCTATAGAGATGCATCCCACGAGTTTTTTCGATTGCAAAAAACGAGGATGAACATTCCACATAAAGCAAGTATTTCGATGTATTTGATGTTGCTTCACCGGAAAATTTTGCAATAGAGGCATTTTTCAACGTCATATGTATAGCCGACTATCCCATACGATTACGACAGACAAACAGACACTTTTCCCTGTTGCATGGTGGTTAGCCGTGCATGTGCAGTGGCTACCCACAAAAATCATTAAACATTTGCCCCATAAAAATAATTATAGTTTTTCAAAAATAGCTCAGTAAGAGTCAGTTTAAACTATACAGCATTGCCCACAAAATCCTTTTTATTTGTAATTGTGTCATTGTTATTCCAGAAAAAGTGGAGTCCGTCAAAAGAAAAAAGATTTTTTGAAATCCTAAACTTTACAGTTAATGCCTAATTGATTTTGTCGTGACTCTACATATGTAACATTGAACGTATGTGATTATCAATTTCCTTTCACATTCTGCAGTATCATTTTTGGTATAGTTAAACGTTCAATTTTTTTATTTCTATTGACTGTCTACACAGCAATCACAATTTCTGAAATCCCTAAAATTACTCCATTTATTGTTGTTTCACTTTTTTCTAAAAAGATTAAATAGATTCGGACTTGTGCCAGAATATTCAATTTCAATTTCGCCAAAAATTTCCAAGCAATTCATTTCTTGCGCATTAATTTAAATAAAGAACAATGTTTGTAACGGCGTTAGCCTTTCAGAAAATAACTAAGAAAGTAATCATTAGATAATTCCAATCACTTACTGGGACTGTGTGCCCACGTATAGACTGGTCATTCGTCTTATCAAATCGTCCAATACGTGGACCAATACATATCGCACCAGTTAAGGCAAGCATACCACCAACCATGTGGACAACACCACTACCTGCAAAATCTAGGTATGCAACGTCGCTGTTTCCTGCAACAAGCCAACCTTCATTAGACCACGCCCAATGTGTAACCACAGGATACACAAATCCTATTAAATGAGAGAGACTAGAGAATTACATCACATTTTAAGATTGAATGACTGATACAAAACACACAATGTAACAAAATACACTTCTTAATTGTTTTAAAGATAATTCATAAACTACGAAACAACATAACGCCCATCCAAATGTTATCATTGAGTGTTGCTAGAATACTTTGCAAGAATAACATGTCTATAAAGGTATAGTTTATACGTCTCATTGACATCGAAATCATGCCGTCAAAGATCATTTCGATGGTTTGATTTACGGAAATTCGATGAATAAATTGGTTCGATTTGAGGTTGTCACTTAAACTGACCAATACCTCAAAAGTTTTTCTTGCAAAGTGAAATCTCAGCTTTTTTTCTAGTATTTTAACGCATAGATGAATTGATTTCATGTTCTCAGTTACTAAAGTAAATGAAAATTCTTTAGGCTAGAAACAGAATGTTAAGTTCTAATGGTTTTTCTTCGATCAACGCACGATCTGTTTAAGAGAATTCAGCCGAAGTCAAAGAAGAGAATCCTCAGATATTAGACATCTTAAAGACGAAACAAGAAGAAAACTGGACATTATTTTTAGTAATGACGACTACGCAAAAACGAGAGTTTTCGTTCACAAACAACAAAAGAGCAACAAATACTGAACTATAAAGATACTTGTTAGAATAAATCACCATTTCCCTATACAGCACAGCAAATGAAAGCAAGTTCAACTGTTGCTGTTCTATGTGCGAAAAAGTTGCAAAAAAAGTTGCAAAAAAACTGTTCGAATTGCCATTGACATACAGCGTTTATGTAAGAAAAAGCGTACAAAAAGTAGTTTTGCGCTCAGTTTCCATACATCGAAAGCCGAGATTTATGTCAGCCAGAACAAGCTTAGAACCATCAGAAGGCCCAAGTTAAAGTTTGATAAGTTCACCTTTTAATGAAGATAAAATTTAATGGTAAGGATGGTGAAGATGTTGATACAACTCATAATAAACTTGAAGAACACTCTATAAACATGTTTGCCCGTGTAAAAAAAAGAAAAAGAACCAGCAGTATTCCTGAGTCACAGTCAGTAAAGTGTTAAAACTTGTGCAAACAAAGATTGAAAATAATGGCACCAAAGATATTTTAGAATTTATACAAGAAAATGCAGAGATGTCTCGACAGACAGAAACAAACACCTTCTAAAGACTTTATCATATTAAAATCATGCAATGGATGCAATTTCAAGGCTTTTTTGCTCAGCCCATATTCAATACCGAAAGTCCCTCAGCCTAGCAATTTTACCAATGCAACAGTATTCAAGATTGGGAGGGAATTACACATTTCAATCACAAATGAGCTCATACACAAATTGTTGACTAAAACTGAATTATTAAATGTTAAGAACGAAGTTGTTATTTTGTTATAGGAAATTTTTTTTATTTGTATTGAAATTATATGTGTAATTACATTTAGTTAAAGTAACTATTCGAATTAAGTTTTTTTAATAGCGAATCCATAAAATAAAGTAAAATAAAATAAGATCAGCCAATTAGTTATTATCATTACATTTGTACTCATCATAGAAAATATAAATAATCTTTTTTTGTTGATTTCCAAAAAACAATGAAATATTTGTAAATTCACTTTTATTTTTGATACATTTTTAAATTCATTTTTCTGACTAGAAGTTTTTAATGTTGTACCTGTAATTAATCCTGAGTATATTAGATATGCCATGAATTCAGCTCTTTCAGCTATAGCACCACTCACAATTGTGGCAGCAGTAGCCGCAAATACAAACTGGAAAAACCAGAATGCGTATGCGTCACTGTTAAGGTCAGCTAGTGCAAAATCTGTATGACCAATAAACCTTTCTGCTTCTCCTTTGATGTCATTCATGTTGCCACCAAACGCAAAAGCAAAACCAAATAACCAATAGATTATAGCACCAATAACTAAAGAAGCACAATGTTTTTCTGATGTAACGTGTGAAATAAGCTCTAAAAAAATGTTTTCTGAGCTAATGAAGCAGAGAGACCAAGCTAAAGCTAACACAGCTTTCTCATTTTTTAAAACTGTAATTGCTCATATGCATCACATGTAGTTGATCAACCGAAATTTAATTAATAAGCAAGTGTAATTCTTCCGTATGCTATGACCAGAAAAATGGGAAAAAATAAAAATTTCATTGTGCATTTCTTAGAACTTACTAACTTTTAAACTTGTCATTTTACTACGCTGAATTCAAATCTGAAGAGTTCCCAAGTCGAAGACCCAGATTTTTGTAATTCGCAGTTTTAATCGTGACTCATTAGAATAAAAGTGTGATCCTCAATTTACTCGAAGGATAAAGAAAAATTTCATTAGTAGAACTTAATTAAATTATACCTCAACCCATTCGAATTTAACACCGCATAACAATATCGTAAAACGATATTAATTATTAATAATTAATAATTAATAATAATTTATTATGATTATTATTATTATTAATAATAATAATAATTAATAATTAAAATTATTATTTATTATTTATTAATAGTAATTAATAATTAATATTAATTATTATATTGTATTGTTACCGTATTTTTCACGATATTGTTTGTGAAACAAACAATACTTCAATGTTTTTTGCCAAATATTTAGGCTCATTATGATGCCAAATATCATATATTATGATGCCAAATATTATATGGCTCATTAGCATGGTTAGGAACGTAAAATTTATTTTACAATAAATCTATTCCAAAAAAGATATAGTCTTTTAAAATTTCTACCAAGTTGTCAGGCATAGACCCCCATAGAGACCCCATTCAAACCTCTATGTAATGAGTTAAGTTAGAAATTTGGTACTACAAGTGACAGTTCATAGATATAGAAAAGCTCAAACTTCAAACCATGCAAGTTTATTGTAACCCTTTACCCATCTCCACATCAATGCCAGCAAATTAACCTTTTGAGAAAAAACTCAAAATTTTTTTCTGTCAAAGATTAAGCAAAAATTAAGTAAAGATTAAGTGAGATATTATTAATATTTTAATTATTATTATTATTATTATTATTATTATTATTATTATTAATTATTTAATAATTTATTTAAAATTATTAAATTATTAATTATTATTAATATTGGTATAACAATTACGTATAACAATATCGTAATTTAATATCGTATTGTTTGTTTCTTTCACAAAGGAAAGAGCAAAATTATTAATATCGTTGATCCGTCACAAAAAAGACTCTCATTTGCGTCGTGCAATGTAAGTTAAAATTTGTTTTGAAATTCATAAAAGTGCAGTAACAAAGGACTTGTTTTATAAAGTCTGTTTTAAACTAACGTTTAGAAAAGTACAACGTCTTTAGAGTCAAGCAGCACCAGCCTTAACGAGATAAATGAAACAGCTGTCGTTGTGTATGAAGAAAAAACAGAGGAGTTGGAGTCATGTGCTGTTTCAGAAAATCCGTTTACTATTGAAGACAACACGTCTGGTACACATGAAATAGCAGAATTTGAGGCAATGGTAGATGATAATATAAACGAAGAAGTGGAACTTTGTGTGGCTATTGAAGAACCATTATTTGTTGACGACGACACTTCTGTTAACAGTCACGCAGCGAGATTTGGAGCAGTAGAAAATAGTTGTTTGCTGAGTGATGATAGTTCAAATGAAGAGGTAGACGTTAAGATTAAATCATGTAATACTTATTTTATTAGTCTTTTGATTGTTCAGAATAAAAATACGAATCTTTTTTAATACGAATCTTTCAATTGTCATTTATTCATCTGTTAAAAGCAGGTTTTGTATTTACTTTACTGGATGTGTCTTTTTTACAATGTCTTTATACGTTTAGGCTGCACAAAGTGAAAAATCATCAAACTGTGATTCAGATAACCAAGAAGATCGTATTTAATTAAATCCATCGAAAACAATCAATTTAGCCTTCCCCCTTCCGTCGCATAGAATGAAACTTTTCAGATTCGACGTATTATACTAGACAGAAATTTGACATATAAACTAGGTCTTATGGACTCAACACTTTGTATGAAATTGGACATTGAAGTTTTTCTTTCATGAATTTGCTTGAGAAAAAAGAATTTAAATCCAGTGAAATGACAAAAAAAGACAAGAACTGTCGATACTGTCTGTAAATTTACATTCCGATGAAAAAAGTTTTTTGATTAAACTTTTTCTTCTCATCTTTTCTTATTATACAGTCTTTTAAGTGGACAATGTAATTTTTAGTTGCTTTTTCTCATTGCAAGTTGCAAGGTACAACGAATCCAAAGTAGTAAATTTTCAGCTGTAAAAAATAATCTTTGGTGAAGAGTTGATCTTTGTCTGAAGTTTTTCAGGGCGTTGCTTACTAGTTTTATTGTTGCCGAGTAGGTTTTCATTCAGGAGAGTAAAACTGACGTACAAACTTCGAGTGTATATTTAGATTTATAAACCTTATGGTTGTTATTATTCTATATAGTGCTACGAATAAAGTTTTTCTATGTTTCTCCGGATAAAATAAAGATGGCAGCTTTTTATTATGAATGAGTGATGATAAAAACTGCGAATTACAAAAAGGTTCGGGTCCACGACTTGGGAACTCCACTATTGATTCAGCGTTGTCGAAAATAGCAAGCTGAAAAAAGTATTCAGTTCTAAGATGTGCCAAATAATGCTGAACGAAATCGTACCACAACTTACGGATTAAACTGTGCACAAGGTACCTAACTCTGTATGTCTCCACTTTGCACGTTCTACCATGAGATTGTGCTATGCCCAGGAAAAAATAAAATCTACATAGGTGAGCGGGTATTTCATAATTAATAAACATCCGCTTCCTCCAGATCAAAATTCTTAAAACTCACGACTTTGAAATTTTACACACGTCACGTTGTACCGGCAACCGATAAAATATACTTTTACGTGTACTTACATAAATCCAGGGTGTTCTTTAGCAAAATATTTGTGGTGTTTTTTGATCGAACTGATCCAGCCTCAAGAAATGCAAAACCGGCTTGCATAACTAAGATAAAAATAAAAATTTTTGTAAAATATTTTATTGTCTTTCATTGCACAAATATGCTTCACATTTAACTATGTCATTAAAAGTTGATGAAAGCATTTTCCTAAGCTTGGATTTATTTAATGCAGCTTATTTGATACTTTTTTCAGTCTTTTAATTCGATAAGCTTAATCTGATATAAAATAAGCATCTTTTACTTGTGTTGTTTGACACTAGTAGTCCAGAAATGAACAAATTCTGCAAGTGATCTAATATAATCACTAATGTGACAGCTAATGGATATCGAGTGCTTGGTAGTGGGAACTATGTAGCAGGTATCGGGTATCGAATACCAGGTTTCATGTTAATATTACTGTGTAACTGGTACCGGCTCACCAGGCACTGTCAAAAAAGTTATTTATTGCATTTTTCCTTTAATATGAAATAGTTTTATTAGTTAATTAGGTTAGAGATCCAGCACCTGCAAAAATTGTTCATAATTTTAGTACTACAGGCCGGGCAGTAAAATAGTCTAAAATAGTTCGAGTTCCTAAACATAAGTACAACTGTAAAACGAACATTATCGAATTCAATTATACTATATTTTTTTACAAAACATGTACACTGCTTAGTGAAACTTCACCTGCATGGCCAGGAAAGTTATACTTTATATAAGCAACTAGCTTGCGGAAACTTTACGAGTCAGCACATTGCATTCTACATATGCAAATACACGTGTAGACCCTACGCCAAAAAAGTGAGAAATTTTTCTATACTGTATTTCCATCATGTTAATTTAGCTCGAATATATCTTTCAAAATTGAATACTTAAAAAACACCCTAGATTTATCATATTTTAGTATTGGAGAAATCAGTAAAAGAAAACGGATTGGCAAAAGGGCATGAGGAATTGTATACAAGAGGAGATATATTGATTACATTGCCGTAAATTAAAAGCTTTGTTGAGATTCCGCTGAAAAGAAAAATGTTTTGTATAAGAGGCAAGATTGTTGTTTTCGCTGAAGCACAATAGTATCGCTTCCGCATCTTACCCGTGTCCAATCATGATGGGGTATTTATGCTTTAATTTTGTATATTCAAAATAAAGAAAGTGTTCACTATCTTAATAGACTTTCTTAACTTTGTCCACTAGAGAGACGCTTTTAGTTTTTTTACAGGTAATCTAATTCTAAAGGTTTCATCCAAAATTTGCAAAGGACTAGAATATTTACATTTGAGTCTGACGAAGACATCCAAGAACATGTGTTAGAAAATTGATTAACAAAAATCCTAAGGATAACCATTTTGTAAGAAAGTACAAATTATTTCAAGTAACGTTTCGTCTTTACACAAGATATCATCAGACTAATAAATAAAAATTGTAAAGATGTTCGTCTATGCATAATTAAAGATTTACATGTTAGGAACGTGGCTATAAGACTTAGGGAGTTTCGTGTGATTATTAAAGCAAAAAATATAAGAAAAAATATAAAGTATGAAATGTTAGTGAAGATACAGATGCTACAAATGAACATAATGGTGTACTTAAAAAAGGTCAAGTGGAATGGATATGACTTTGATATCCGGTGTGGGTGCTAGTTTTGAAATTAGGAGGCTTTGATAAGTCATCAGGAGGCTTTCGTGGATCATTTGAAATGTTACCTTAACTATATTGAAATTTCTTACAAAATTGCTTTTGTAGAATTCTATGATTTACAATTTTTTGGCATAAATCCGTTTCATGCCTTACAAGTCAGTCGCTCCTATCCAGGAAGCTCTCTATGCAGTAGTTTGAAATGATCCAAGAAGAAGTAAAGCTCGAAATTTAATCCATTGTTTAAAGCTTTTTTCAAAAATTGTGTATTTTATTTATTTCGGTCATGTACTATATCCATATTTTTCCTGTCACTTTCCTGGAAACAGTCCCCAGAAAAAATTTAAAACCTCGGTTGAATTGAAAACAACTTTGAAGTGACCTAAAGTAAAGGTTTGAGAAGATTATATAAATCTGTAAGTACTTTCATTCATCTTTCTTGCCTATCTTCTTCCTCCAATATCACAACAAGAGCAAGTTCCCAGAAATTGTGCAAAAACATGCTTTATCGACTTGACGCATGAGAAGAATTTTGCAGGAGCTTGGGTTGAAATTTGAGTAAAATTTAGAAATAATTATGAACTTTGAGGAATTTTTAATTTTGATACTTTTCTACAATGCTAGACCAAAGTTCTCTAAATTTAAACCAAAACTTGTTTCAATCAATCCAACTCAACAAAAACAGCCCGGTAGTATTTAATCCAAATCGGAAATATAGATAGTTTTAAATTCTGTGAAATATATTTAAATCTAGTTGATTAATTGTTTTAAATTGTTAAGAGTTGAGAAAACATACAACCTCACGGAATTCTTGGCTCATTAGCTGAGCTTTATAGCGATTTGGGGACAGGTGCTTCCCTTTTAGCAAACAGGGCAGACAAAATACTTAAGCAGCTTATTGAAGGCTGTATAGGCGTCTTTCAACACACAATATGCAGCGAGAATCTTCTTTTGCCAACTTTACCACGAAAACAAGACTTTCTCTAAGATTTAAATCGTGAACGGTAAGACTAATATTGGTAAAGTGGTAGTTCCACGAATTTTGGTTTAAGTTTTTAATATTTATCAGTTGTTATAATAAAGAAGATAAATATTTAATATATTGATCAAGTATTAAAACTTGTATCAAGTTGAAATTTGCACTTGCTCTTTGAATAAAAGTACTCCTCAATAGATGGTGACTTTATTTCAAAACCTTACAGTATTGTTTCTTTGCACAGTAGTTAGGGCATTTGTTAAGATCTTAGCAACTACATAAGTTTTTCCAACCCTACATATATTTTGAAAATAGTTTGCAAAGTCTTTAAAGAGCTTTTCTACAGATATTTGTGTACACTAGCTACTAATGGAATTGTTAAACCTCCATCTTTGAAGTATATTGACGATTTTGAATGATACTTTACAATGCAAATACTGAGAGTAAGTAACATCCCCATACATACACAAAGCAATCCATTCACTTAGGCAAATTGCTCTAAATTCTATAACTGGCAAGAATCAACAAGCATTGTTGAATCATATCTTTTTCTTTCTGCAAAAATCATTCATTTTGAATGTTTTATGTACAGGTACAAGTATTTTGCAGTTAAAAATTTTTATTGTACTATATTACAGGCTTGGCATGATCAGCGTAAAGTATATAGGGGCCGTCGGGCTTTAGCCATATTTAAATCTTTTGGTACTTAAACCGAAGAAATATTGCAACTTATTATATATTAACATATATAATCAGCACTCACAGATGTTATAGAGTAACTTATTTAATACATCTCTTGTACTATTAATACAACTGCATCACTATTGTTATTGTAAGCACAATTAAACGCAGTTATAACCATATTTTATGTGGGAAGTCTCCTTGCTTTAAATAGGAAATAAATTAAATAGGCGTGTTTAACCCTACTATATGGTTTAACTTTATATCTGAAGCATCAGCTCCTCCAGAGAAACAATAAAGTTAAAGTTTGGGATACCATAATCAAACCAACATTTCTAAACTGTTAACTTACCAGCAGGTCCAAAGACTGAGGTCATTTGGCATTGCTTTTGACTGATACATTAAATTATGTACACTCGTATGTCCATTATAAACAGTTCATTGCATTTCACCAGGACGAGTAATTGCTGTCACTTTCCTATGATAAAGCCAAAGCATTTATCCTATGCTCCTCCTTCGCTGCACACTGAATCAGTATATTGCTAAAGATGCCAAAGGTTCAGTATTTGATAATTCCAATTGGGTGATCCTTTCCCACGTCTTTCCCAAATGAAATTGACGCTTTATTAAAAACTATACTTAGCTCTGGAACTACCAAAAAGTTGAATTATGTCACTGTATATGCATTGTTACATGAAAAAACCGACTAAGAAAATGCATAAGCTCTTGATTCCATCACAAACTGTTCCTTTTGGGCAAGTAAATGTTTCAAAGAATATCCATAACCCGGGCAAGATCACTTCTTTGAATCTCCAGTTGACTTCACATAATACTGGATCTGTCACTTTCAATGAGGAAATATTATATTCTTTTGGAAGGTTCTATGCGTATGCTACACTCTGCCCTCTTTATGCACCTTATTAACACGTCGTCAAACACCACGTCCCAGAAATCTTAAGCTCTCAATCATTTCAATGAAGCGTCATTACTTTAGGCTTCAACGTAGTGCAAACAACATGAAATTTTGAACGCAAATAATGCTGTGACCAATATATTTGTCTTCCTAAGAATGTTATATGCAGTGCGGTGTTTGAAATTAAATGATGATATGATCTTCGCACTTTGCTGGACAATTTATAATTGTTCATGAACCCGAAAATTCATTTCAACGGGATTCTAACCCATGACTTATGAATTGATTGACAGTGGAGAGCAGGTGATTTTGTTGGGCTCATGTTTCTCGTGAATTGTCCAGCAAAGTGCGAAGATCATATCTTCATTTAATTGCAAACACCGCACTGCATATAACATTCTTCATATGACAGTCCAGTCACAAGAAAACATGAGCCCAACAAAATTGACCTGCCCTCGACTGTGTGACTTCATAGCTCAGTTGGTCAGAGCACTGCACCGGCACCGCAGAGGTCATGGGTTCGAATCCCGTTGAGTCACCTGAATTTTTCAGGTTCATGAGACAATTGCTTATATTGTCCAGATAAGTGCGAAGGTCATATCTTCATTTAATATTTGTCTTCCAGTAAACAATTATTATTTTAGTCGCTGTCCTTTTCAGCAAAATCGTGTTTAACTTAATTTTTTATTACTTAGGTTTATTTTTTATGTATTTCATTGCAAACAACATGATTACTAAGACTATATCTCTCCAATATTTTTGACATGTCTTATTACGTTTATTACCATGAAATTCAGTTTTAACAAAACTTCTATAATATGGAAGGCTTTCAGAGCGTAAACTGGACAAAAATAT